AGCCTGCCTCATCTTTCTCCTGCAGAGCAGCTGGTGAGTTCAAACCACCCACCTTTTGGTTAGCAGCAGAGCGCTTCAAGCACTCACTGTGCCACTAGAGTTCATAAAGTCAGTAGAGTGAGCAAGAAATGTAGCAGTTCTGAAGGGAGGAGACTGAGCACGCCAACACTTGTGGTTTCCAGCCGTTAATGTTGAGGCTTTCAGTGGTTGTTATCAATGGCTTCAGCCACACAAGGAAACAAAACAATGAAAAGTTTTCTCATGAAGGTTGAAAGCAGATTCCAGGAAAGCCCTTTGAACAATTACCGATCTCCCACCATCCCCCACTTTGTCTAGGGCTAAAGCCAAAAATAAAAGGCACCAGATTCTTAAGAATGAGTTTCCTGCCCTAAGTGAATAGAACAGAATCCAATCTTTTAGCTGAACTTCCAGGTGGGAAAAGAGACAAAGGATTATGATGATATGATCAGGGCACTTCTCCGAATAGCTGATTTCCTGGGAAAGATGTCCATTTACAATGCCCTGCATCGGCAAGAGCTTCCTGGTTAGCAATCACTCTCTCTCTCAACGAAATCTAACCAACCTATTTGGTTATAGCTCTCCTACCAGGAGCATAATAGCTGGGGCCCAAATCCAGATTCAGAATAGAGCATTAGAAAAATCATTTATTTTCTCTTTACACATTCATTACCAAGACTTTTGGTAGATAAAAGTACATTGGAATTAAACATATTTTAATATGGTACCAAGAAGCCAAATGCACCTAAGTTTTGAATACTGACAACCCATATTGAAGAAAGAAATTGTTTTTTAAAATCAACAGTTAAGTATATGATTGGAAATAGAACCAGATCTCCATTCACAAATTGATTGTCTTTCCTGATTTCCAATTTTAGCAGGGTTCTTTCTTTAGCAATTATTTCAAGGTAGCCTAAGAATCAGAGTATTCACAGACACAAAATCTATTAAGAAAGATTCAGAAACTCAGAGTCCCTGGGTGGCACAAATTGTTAAGCATCTGGCTACTAACCAAAAGGTCAGCAGTTCAAATCCACTCAGAGGTCCCTCAGAAGAAAAGCCAGATGATGTACTTCTGAAAGATCACAGCTGTTGGGGTTGAGGGGGAACTTTCAGAAACCTCACCAAGGCAAAATGAGAAAGAAGCATTACTACTCCCTTCACAGCTTCAAGACTTACGGTTTTAAGGAAAGAAAAGGAAATATTTACAGAGTGACAGAGAAGTGATAGTCCAAGGTGATAGTCCGAGGCATGAAAGGAGAGAAGGCCAGGAGGAGACCCAACTACTAAGATCAACCATTCCACAGCTCTGCTTAGAAAAAAAACTATAACAGGAATTCAATAGAATAATAGTTATTATTCTCTGATTAAAGTCTCTAAGGTTTTAGTCAGTCTCTTACAAAAAAATAAGCATTCCCCTATAGTAGAGATAAAACCCACTGCTATTGAGTAGATTCCAACTCATAGCAACCCCTGTTGGGTTTCCAAGGCAGTAAATCTTTACAGAAGTAGATCCCCCCATCTTCCTTCCACAGAGCAGCTGGTAGGTTTGAACTGCCAACCTTCTGGTTGACAGTCAAATGCCTTAGGCACTGTGCCACCAGAGCCCCTTAAGGTAGGGATATGTACTTAATTTAGCAGGTACCTACTAGTTCATAAAAATTGAGATGACATTCTGAAATAACCCCAATGCTACTATCCTCAGGACATTTGAACCAACTGTGTATGCAGTCCTTCTTAGGCCCTTGTTTCTTTAATTAATAGAATGCAAAGCATAAGCATCTGCCCTGATCTCCCTCCAAGGGCCTGTGCTTAATATAAATCAACTAGTGCAGACACACATTCAGCCTGGCCTCCATTGTCGAGAGGATTTACTGATAAAACATAGATCACTGAAGACTCAGATGATCCAGAACTGCTTTGTAGTTACTGCTTTCATCTCTGCTCCCAGCCATATCTCCTAGCAGCCCCTAACTAGAAGTCAAACTGACTACCTTTCATTTCTTCTCCCCTTGGCCATCCTTTTATGGAGGTGCTAGCAAGCGTGGGTCACTAGTAAGTATAGGGAGATCTGGACTGTAGGAGAGAACCATGTTTGGGCCCAGAAGAACTGAGGTAACCACAACTGTTTAACTCCCACTAAGTTGTATACAATCATCTCACAAAATAAGTTCATTATATTTGCAGAACATCAGCCTCCCACCAAACCATCTGTTTTTGTAATGAAAAATGGGACGAAAGTTGCTTGTCTGGTGAAGGATTTCTATCCCAAGGATGTAAAAATAAGTCTCAACTCATCCAAGAAGATAACAGAATTTGACCCTGCTATCGTCGTCTCTCCCAGTGGGAAGTACAGTGCTGTCAAGATTGGCCAGTATGAAGACTCAAACTCAGTGACATGTTCAGTTCAACATAACAATGAAATCTTGAACTCCACTGACTTTGAGCTGAAGACAAATCATTCAGGTAGGTGGTATCTGGCTTTAAGGAACTGGGGGTTGATAGGAAGGAAAGTTGTAGAAAGGGGAGTTGGAGATGTACTGTGTTTTCACTCATATAACACACATCTTATACAGTTTTTTGCAAGCCACACAACACCCTCACACATTAGTTTCCTATGCATGCTACATGTGTTACATGAGTGGGTACACTAATTCTGTTGGCACATTATTTGTGGAAAAAATAAACTCTGGCCATCTCTCTCAATACAGCATCATATTGGGAACAAGACTTCGATCCATCTATAGTTCATCATTGACTGGGAAGGGAATGTTCTGCATCCTTGAACTGGAATCTGAGAAAAGACCCATGTTTGGTCCTTCCATCCCCACCTCACTTCTTCGTTAATCACTGTCTCCTTCATACAAGCAGCTGTCCTACTACAAGTCTCTGTGATTGAAAGAAACTCTGTTCTTGGACAACTTTTCAGTCTAATCTAATGCTGAATTCCAAACCAAAAGACAATCCAATCTATTGTGTGAATCCTAGTTCTTCTAACATATTGTTGGCCTCATGATGCAATGAAAAAAGTCTGGAATGGGAAATATGTTGGCTAGGTGAACAGCTGTATGACCTTAACCAAGTCACACCCTCTGGGCCTTAGTTTACTTACTTAAAGTCTCTTCCAGTTTTAAAACCCTAAAATCCTTTGAGTTTCTTAGTTGATAACATAAATCTGACCACTGCTGCTTTTTCCTAGGTACTCCAGAGCTAATGAAACCTGAAAACAAAGAGCAAACTTCAGAGAGCTGCCATCAACCCAAAGGTTAGTTCAAATCAAAAGATCAACTTCAAAATTGAGAATTAAGGCAAATTCCATAATTGTCAGATAAGGAAGGTCAATAAGCATCAGATTACAAAAGAAAACAAAAATTATTCCTGAGTCCAGTTGGTTTACTTCCACCTCTGACTCTCCCAGGAGAACTTGCCTGGCTGTGAGCATGGGTTCCCAAAGAGATTTGGCTGGATGTGAGTAGGTCTCTAGGGATGGCTGGCTCCTAACTGGGCTTTGCAGGCCGGGAAGAGTAATGGTGACTTAGGGCAAGCCGGTGTCACTGTTGTGGGTGCCATTTCTAGAAGGGAATTTAGTCTGTCCTTGAAGCCATCATCTTCCCTCTTGCTCAACTATAGTTCATGCCGGGAAGGTGAACATGATGTCTCTCACGCTGCTGGGACTAAGAATGGTGCTTGCCAAGAGTGTTGCCATCAACTTTTTCTTGACTGCCAAGTTATTTTTCTTTTAAGGTAAGAATTAGCCCCTTCCTATTCACACGATCACCCAAACTATGCAGAACATAGGAAAAAGGCATTTAGGAATGGAAAGAAACCAAGAAACACGGGGAAAAGAAAAACACAAAGATATATTTAGAATTAATAAGGTGAGCTATCTCAGGTACTCTGCATAACAACATCGTATCTCCTGTTATCCTATCATTTCATTCCAGACTCTAAATCCATTATGTAGTACATTATACTGTTTTTCTAACATGCCAGCCAACACCAACCCCTTCCACTCCAAGGAGCATGTTGGAGCTAAGAAGAAGAATTAGTCTTCTTTATCTGCTGTTTAAGTAACATTTCACCTAAAGAATATTCAGGGAGAATGGAAACTATCTTTGCCCAGATAAAGAGAATGCCAGATTCCCGTAATCATAGGGCTCTGATTGCAGACCAGCCTGTCATTGAGATGATATACACTCCTGTCAATAGTGAACAACCCACTTGGGATGCATAAAAGTCAGGGCTGAGATGTAAATTATTTGCCTTTTACTTACATTCCCTTTTCAGCTAAACTTGAAGATGAAATTTGAACCAGGATCTTGGTTTGCCTATGAAGCTTCTCACCCTTGCTCCTTCTCAGTATTACCATGTACAATATTCCCAAGTATTCTTTAGCCCCAACTCTCATGTAGGAGCAACCCTAGACTTAGATTTTTGGGCTGATCTGACCTAGCCTGAAAACATACTTGATCATTCTGAAATGGATACCCATCATGACTGTTATTTTACTAACAGTCCCAAGGACATAGGTCCTGTGGTTGTATAAAAAGAGCACTGTACTGGAAGTCAGAAGACATGGGTTTTAGTTTTGATTTTGTCACTGATTCACAGTTAACTTAGCCAGGCTGCTTCACTTCTCTGGGCCTCAGTTTTTGCATCTGTGAAAAAGAGAATTGAGAATGACTAAAGGAAAGCAAATAAGCTTCATAGATTGTGCCAACATTGATACACTGATATTGACAAGCTGCACTCTTTCCATGTGTAGAGGGGGTAAATGCTGTGATAGATTAGTGATGTCTGCAATGGTACAATCAAAGCAAGTGTTGGCCTTCCCATAATAGATGACTCCTATGATTCCTTCCAACACTGAGGGTCTATGATTCTGTAACAGGTGGCTCCCACAACTTTTCTTTACTTGCAGGCTGACTGGGATGAGGAAGCTGCATCGCCTCAAATGAACCAAAAGCCTGTTTCAAGTTAACCGTCCAGTGTTGCTTAAATGGCTACCACCCAAACCAGTCCAGTGTTGCTTAAATGGCTACCACCCAAACCAGTTTTCCTTTGACAGCAGCAAACCCAGCTCATCCTTCAGCTAATGAAAAGACAAAAGTGCTGGGGAGAGGAAGTTTATGGTCCTAACTGTATCAGTGTTGCTTTATAAAGGGATTTAAGACTCGTGTTTACTCCTACAACTGCTACACTTTGAGAATGGTGTTCTGTTCCTTTTGACTTTCTTTGACTCCAGAAGTGGAAAGGTTCCACGATCCATTCTCCATGGTGGGAAGAGAGCTGGTATCCTTTTAACTAAATATGAGATGCTCTGCTCAACTCAGCAATATATTTGCCCCAAACTGACATTCTCATCCCAACCTGTGGCTTGTCCCACCCTCTGTATTCACTTTAGCAGCCAGACTAGAGCTGTCGATGGAGTGTGGGAGAGTGTACACAAACTTTCAGCACTTCCTAGCTTTCCTAGTACTTTGTAAACAAAATTACAGTCAACATCCCTAATACTCTCTGAGCAGTCAATGGGGTTTCTAAAACCTCATCTAAATATTCTCCAAGCTATTAGCAGAGATCAGAGTAGAATGCAGAAGAAAGGCACTTCTTTCTATTAATTGATTTACCAAACATAAATTGACTTCCTGTAAGTTCAAGACTCTATGCTTCAAATATGAGTAAGAAGTGGTTCCTGCCTATAATTTAAGAAACTCACTATGCAAGTGTTTTGGGGGAGAGGGGTAGGAATGAGACTCCCTCTAGACTGCCCCTGTGAAAACAATGTATTTACTGTCTTTCACCTGCCAGTCTGCCCAGAGACTTTTGCCTGAGTCTTGGTGTTGATAGTTTTCTGCTGTTCATTTTAGACCCTGTCTCTGCTGCATTTATTAAACTGCATTGTGTGTAATCACCTCTGGCTTGATTCATTGCTGACCAAGACAGAAAGAAAGTGGATGCTGAGAAATGTTAGACGAAAGCCAAACTGAGCTTATAGGTTACACCGCAGCTTCCTGAGCCTCAAGCCTACAGGTTCCTGCCCTGGGGACCCAGCTCTCGGTTTCTTGCTGTTTCTGCTGCCACTGCTAGAGCAATAATAATAGCAGCAGCAGAGCCCTTAGTGTGGGGGTGAACTCTGTTTCCCCTGTCTCTGCAAGGTCAGAGCTCTTTCCAGGTGTGTCCACTCAGGTAGTAGAAGCCTGCTGTTGTTGTTGTTGTTATGTGCTGTCGAGTCGGACCCGACTCATAGCGACCCCTCTTTGGGTTGCCGAGGCAGTGTCACTACGGAAGTAGATTGCCCAACCTTCCTTCCGAGGAGTGGCTAGTGGGTTTGAACCGCCAGCCTTCTAGTTAGCAGGCAAGTGCCTTAGGCACTATGCTACCAGGGTACCTAGTAGAAGCCTAGCAACTCAGAAATGTGGTTTCCATGTCACCTACTTAGGGTATCAAGCAGGAGTTTATGAGGTTGCAAATGGAAGAGCAGCCATCACCAACAACTGTCCCCGGTATATCACCAACTATAAACTCCTGCATCATGCCTTTACAGCCAAACAGAAAGGAGGCAGTAGCATGAGCCCATGGGTTTAGAGCAATATAGAAGGAAAAGCCAAGTCCATCTAAGAAAAAATAACTACATTATTCCACACAACTTCATCTTGTATGTAGAAAGAATGTCTATTTCCAAAATATCCCAATCTATTGCCTTGTGTAGTGTTAGAATGTTTCTCTGAAAGTTCTGGAAATGAAAAAATCACTTACTCTCATTTTTCAAATGAAAAAAAATACATACACACAAAAGAGTATGTCCCTTGTCCAAAGTCATTCCGTGAGGCAGGGAGATTGCTAAGAGCAGAACCAAGGTATCAAGAGTGCAGCCCAAAGTTCATTCTACAAGACCATAATGTGGAAGAGGCGGGGCAAGATGGCGGACCAGGCAGAAGGATTGCACAGACCCTCTTCAACAAAGAAAAGGGAAACCAATTAACACAGACACGGAAGATAATCTTGGACCCCTGAGCCTTGAAGGAAAG